TTGGCCACCAGACTAAATAAGCATTTAGCATCAATTATCCATCCAGATCAAGCTGAATTCATCCCTGGCAGGCTTTTCTTTTCAATGTGCGACGTTTGCTGAATATACTATATTCTGACAGGGATAAAAAAAATAAAACAGCTGTCTTGACACTGGATGTTCAAAAAGCCTTCGATTCTATTGAATGGCCGTATTTACTGGAAACTTTGAGGAGGTTTGGATTTGGAGAGACTTTTGTGGAGTGGATCGCAATGATTTATCATTCTCCTAAATCATTTGTCATAACAAATAATTTATCATCTGAGCCAATTGGTCTACATCGAAGTGTGAGACAGGGTGATTGTCTGTCCCCATTATTATCTAACATAGCATTAGAACCTTTGGCAACTGGGTTAAGAAGTCACCCTTATATTAGGGGTATTCCAACTGTTACAACAGAATGTCTCGTTAATCTGTATGCAGACGATTTACTCGTCACTTTAATGAACCCTGAAGAGGGTATCCTTCATCTCAGAGAATACATCAGTGTATTTAGTAAAATCTCTGGCTATACAATAAATTGAGCCAAGAGTGAACTAATGTCAATTGGAGAAAATATAGTCTTACATAATTGCCCAGTAAAAACTGTCCAAGACTACATCACATACCTTGGACTTAAGATACCAAAAAATCCCAAATCTTTGCTCAAATTGAATCTCCTTGAAGCCATTGATAAACTAAAATGCAGCATAGAATACTGGAGGACTTTGCCACTGTCCATGATCGGCAGAGTAAATGCTATAAAGATGGTATCTCTATCTATACCGGCGGATTATTTAAAAAAAAAAAAAAAATAGATAGATACAATTATTTTAGATTTCATCTGGGGTTACAAAAAACACAGATTATCCAAAAAACATTTATTTAGGCCCACTTTGGATGGGGTTCTGGGTCTCCCAGTATTTAAAGAGTATTATTGGGCAGCTAATGCTCGGGCGATGACATACTGGCAACTGGGTTCTCCAGACCATGAATCATTCAATTCCACCCCCCTGTGGCTAAAACTAGAACTTATGTCCTTAATAAAGCCACATGCCTCACTATCTTCCCTTCTGTTCACGAATACTACATCGCCTGTTAAATTAGTAAATCACAGTTTTATTGTTAGAAATTCACTCAAGATTCTTAATCAAATTAAGCACGTTTACAAAGTTCCTAATGTATCAATTTACACACCAATCTGCCATAATCATGCCTTCACCCCAGCATTGCTGGACAGTACATTTGCTGCATGGAGTGTAAAAGGACTTAAATGTATAAAAGACTTCTATTTAGACAGCAGATTTGCATGTTTTGGCCAATTAAGTCAGAAGTATAATTCTCATTCTATTTTTTTTCATTATATGCAACTCAGGCACTTTTTAAGGGAAAACATCCCCCAGTTTGAATGTACTTGTGAGAGTTATACTCTTCTGGACCTGCTTTCTCTTTCTCTACACAGAAATCAACTTATTTCTAAATTTATGAATTTCTTTTCCAATGAATCTGAATCATTTTGTATTAAGAATGCATGCATGTGAAAAAGACATTAATGCTGTACTGCCTGACAAAATATGGAAGACCGCACTCTCCCGTGTTCACAAGTGCTCAATAAATAGTAGACACAGGTTAATACAGTTCAAAGTAATTCATTGTTACCATTATTCTAAGGTCATGCTACACAGGTTTTATCCTTCTGTATCTCCTATTTGTGCCAAATGTAAATCAGACGATGGTACCTTGCTACATCTATTCTGGAACTGCCTATTAATCTTTTTTTATTTTGGTCAAGTATTTTTTCATTTTTTTCTGGCGTATACCATCGGACACTCGGATAGGAGACTTGGCTCTTGTTGGATGTTCAGAGGACTCACTATCTCTTCCTCCACACATCCAAACTGTTTAATTATTGGGCACAACATTAGCAAAAAAACTACTACTCCACCGTGCTTTAGAAACTGGCTATATGAACTTGTTTCAGTCATTCACATGGAAAATCTGTGATTTAATAATCTAAACTGTCAACATAAATGGGAAGAAGCCTGGGGCCCCTTAATGAAATACCTGAACTTAACTTGAACATTTGGCACATGCATTGTGCTGCTCTGCTTCTGCATTGTTGTTGTTGGTTAATGGCTGGGTTTGCCTACGGCAGCTGAAATGATTAGTATTGTTTCTTTACTGGCTGGACCATATGGTTTAAGGCTGGTTGCTTTGAGCGACTTCTCAATGACGCCAAGGTTTATTTTTGTTTTGTTTTTTGATCTGATGTGATTGTTGATTATGGCCCTGGAGCATACTGATGTGTGTTTTCGTGTCTGCAATATGGAGTTAGGATGGGCATTCACTTACAGTTATCTGTACTCCTCTTCCTTCTGTGTGTGTGTACATGTGTGTGTGAGTGTGCTCATGGGTGTTTTAGGTTGGGATTGGTGTCTTTTTTTTTTTGTCTTTTTTTTTAATTTTTAAAAAAGAATAAAATGAATGAAAAAGATGTGCAGTATATGTGTAATATTTTGACATTTAAATCACTATTATCAAGCTATATTTCCTTTCAATTTGAAAGTTAATGACACAAGTTGAACCTTTGATCCTGTCGTCACATTCGCTTCATGCAAGACTCCAGCCATCAAACTCTGCAGCCCGAGGATGAGGTTGCAGCCAACACTGCATTCAAGACACCCAAGCAGGATCCTTTTGAGGTTTTATGGTGGTGGAAGGAGCATGCTTAAGGTGTTTCAGTGATATTATATGGATATATGGTGATAGTATATATTTTAGCCATCACAGCACCAAGCGCAGCCAGTGAAAGAGACTTTTCCTCTGCTGGATTTGTAATTCAAGAATGGAGAACCCAGCTTGTGAGTGACTGTAGACTGTGTGTGTTTAATCACAGGTGCAGGTCAGGTTGCGGGACTCGGGTGTGGGCAGGTATGGCTTTGACTTAGACATGATGATGGGTAAAGGGTTGGTCCTAGTATGGAGCTTTACGGTTATAGGCAGGTGCAGGTTGTCAAAAATGGACCTGTGCAGGACTCTGGTCTCTGTAACATACAGCATGTTGACTTCGATGTCCTACTACAATAGAAGACGCAGATCCAAACATATTAGGATGTCTTGTAGCCTTGAAATATACTAAGGCTGTTGCACTTCTTTCCAATGCATACTGACTTGTTTTAACTTTTACTCAAACCAAACACATTAAACCTGAACAAAATGAGCTACAGTATTTTCTTTTTTTTTGGGGGGGGGGGGGGGGGCAGGACAGGTAAGCGTGAAGGGGGGTGAGAGAGATGGGGGCTGACATGCAGCAAAGGGTCTGCGCTACCCACTTACACACTGACAACCCAGCTACAGTATTCTTTAAAGCAATATTTGATCATGAAAATTCATTCTTGACCATTGGGAAAGAAGTCTGACAAAATAATCAGAGCTTCATTTACTAGGGCTGTAGTCAACCAAAGAAAATCTTGGGCGACTTAATCTTCAACTAATCGATTAGTCGTGGGAAAAACAAAATCTGCACGTTATTTTTACTTCTGTGGTGGTGTGTCTGTGTCACTCTGCAGTTACACCTCCAAAACACCAGTCGGCGGTGGAGGACTGTGTTAAGTGCTGTAAAGTTTAGTTCAAATCAAACTTTATTTGTATAGTTGATTCAAGACACACATTAAATGTGGCTTAATAGGGACAAAATTTCAAACACAAGTACGCAAATTGGCTTCACTGTAAATCGCAGAACTGACAAACACTTGTCTTTATCTGCATACATTTCCCCTACCAATACAACATGCTAACGTTATTAGCACAAGTCTATGGCGTTTTACATTGTATAAATTAGCCTAGCATCTAGCGGTCTTTTCCTCTTCTCATATAAAACCAGGGACAACAGCAACATGTAACAAAGATAACGGTACATATTTTGGCTCCATTACAACTCACAACATTCACCGACAAAACAACTGTCGTTAGCACCAGCCTTTGGCATTTTACATTGTATACATTAGCCTAGCGACGAGCGGAGATTTTCTCTGTTCATAAGAAGCCATAAATCCCGAAGTATAAATCCCTGAAGGATAAATCACACACAAGACTTAAAATGCTATTTTAGTGGAGGCTTCACTGTCTTCACAATTTATTGTTTCTTATCTGTGAAACACAAGTAAATACAAGCTTCGTTTCCACTGAGGGAAATGGTGTCAGCTTACAGAAACAGACAGGAGGTCTGCGTCACCGCAACGCTGAGCGTGAGGGTGGGTGAGTTCAACTTTCTGTCAACAACAGGGGTGTTGTGAAAACACCCCCATTTTCACAGGTAACTTAGCCTGTCCCCCCACCGCAGGAAATAATGGATTAATCCTGGAAAGCTGTTGATGTAGCACTTTTCTCCTTATGAAAGTAACACGACAATTATTCGACTAATGAGAATTTGATCGGACGAGAGCATAGCGACCAAATAATCGACTAGTCGACCAGGAGACTACAGCCCTATCATTTACTGTATTGTTTTGGAACTTTTAACCACAAGTTGTGGCCTTCTTCTGGAAATGGAGCTTGCTCAGTTGTCATGAAGCTGGCTAAGGGGTCATCACATGACCTACGTGTGGAGCTTAAGTTATGTGATAGGAAGTGGTTGTATATGTGTGAAGATGGTAACTCCTATTCTTTGGCGTCAGATGTTAATGACCTTGATCTTTCTCTGGCCATCCACTGACTCCTGGTCAATGACCTCTGACCTCTTCCCAAAGGATGCTGAGAGTGATTTTGGTCTGGTATTCACAGACTGTTCGTCCAGTTACCTGTCCAGGGTCCTCACTGCCAAGTCACTAAGTGACTTGGCAGTGAGGACCCTGGGCGATGGGCGATGACTGAACAAACAACTCTAGTAGTTTATTGGAATTTCCAGAAATAGCTCATAAGTGGACCTTAAGTTTGTTGGTTGTTTTTGTTTCTTTCAATGAACAGAATATGTTTAATTTCACCTGTGTGCTGGCATCTTTGGGGCAGCTCTGTTGCATGGCCCAGGCTGGGATGACATTGAAGCCTTTGACCGTAACAGAGTCTGGCAGCAGTGAAGCCAGATACTCAGCATTAGACTCTGGATACTGGTTCACCCTCCTGTTGTTACTCACGTCCACAAGGATCTTTCCTGCATAAAAACAAGACAAACACACCATAGTTAAAGACATTAAATACATACTAAGCTTGGACTATCGGCTACAATCAGGAGTGGGTGAGTACTTTTCATGTTCCTTTTTTGAAACTGTACTTCTACTCTTTACTTACGTATATTTTTGAGTCAGTGGTCTGTTTTTACTTTATTTCAATTTTTACCTTCGTTACAATGAGTCTGCTCTAAATGTGATCAAGTGTCGGGGAGAAAGCATGCGAGGAGCACCTCTACTGCAAACCAGGCCACCGGCCAAGCCTTAAGTGATCACAGTGGATTCTTTAAAAATGAATTTTCAAAATGTTTTTTAAACAAAACCAAGTAGCCTCGCAGGTCAAAACTAGAATTAATGCCCCGCGCACTGGTCAAGTTTCTCTTACAGTTAACATCCATGTCTATAAAAACATGGATGCTACAAACACAGAAGATCTATACAATCAGCACAGTTTCAAGGTGGACATCCAAGATTAGTGTCACCAATTCAGTATCTGACCAAATGTCTCCCCATCTTTTCCTGAGATATGTTGAATAATGGCTAGAAAAAATGGTTTATGCAGAACATTATGATGTCACAGTGAAGCTGACCTTTGACCCTTTGGATATAAAATATCATCACTCCATCATTTTATCCTGTCAGACATTTGTGTGAAATGTTGTCATAATTAGCACATGAATTCTTGGGCTACGGCCAAAAACATATTTTATGAGGTCACACTGACCTTGACCTTCGACCTTTCACCACAAAATTCTCATTAGTTTATTCTTCAGTCCAAGTGGACATTTGTGCCAAATTTGAAGAAATTCCCTTGAGGTATTCTTGAGATATCGTGTTCACAAGGATGTGATGGGTGGATATATGGATGGACAGACTTAGGTACATACGAACGAAGGACATATGGACAACCCAAATAAAAATGAAACTGGCTGCACACACACACAGAGCACAGAGCCGCCAGCCTCTGACCTCATGACAGCTACAACTGCAAGGGGGAATTCAACCTAAGTCAGTAAGGTTAGCTATCTAGTATTAATGTTAATGTTACCAGTAAGCTAACATTAGACTGTTTGATTTTTACAGTAATGTTACAGTTAAGGAATCAGCAGCTGATGTTTGCATTTACAGTGAACTGATGTTATTGTTATGTCAAATTTATGTATATAGCACAATTCATACGACAGGCGTAGACATAATGTCCTTAAGATAAAAGTAAATATCATAAATGACAAAAATCATTTAAAAACAAAATGTATAAAGAGAATAAAAACATAAAGTAAAACATAAAATGAGAAGGTAGGACAGTTAAAAACAGGGCAGATAAAAAGGGTATTATCATTATTCATGTGAAAAGGGAATAATAATAATTATAGTAGCCTACTAAATTGTGAAAGTCTGCCCCAAGAAACGTGTCCCCCAAAAGGCAAAATGTATTATTGACTAGTGGTGTAAGAAAATATTGATACACTGAAATATCGCGATATTTCATTTCGCAATATTGTATGGATACTCAAAAGCACAGTGTCAATTTTTTATTAACAATTTACATGCAAATATTCACAGCGGTGGTTCATTTTTGTGTTGCATTTAAACCTTCCACCGCTAGATGGCAGCAGTCATTCGGCTATTGACTCCTCCGCTCCAAAAGAAGAACTACAGCTAAAGGTCAAGCTAAACATGGCGGAAGACAGAGGGACAACGTTACAGCCGGCTCCCGCAGCTTTCAAAGCCAATGTGTGGACGCATTTTGGATTCAAAACTAAGGAAGGCAGTAAAGACTTCGACAAGAGCCATGCAGTCTGTAAACTCTGCAATGCCAGAGTCAAACACGACAAATTTGCGAGCACATCTGACGAGGCACCATGGCGACATAGCATTACATGCTAACGTGAAACAACGACGAGTGGATGTAGGTCAACGGACTATGGAAGAGGTTCACTTTTCGAAACTACCAGCGACCTCAACTCATGCTACCAAAACAACGCAGTCAGTACTGTTTCATTTGTAAAGACATGCGCCCTCTGAGTGTTGTGGAGAATGAGGGGTTTTGTAATATGATTACAACACTGGAGTCCCGCTACATCATACCTTCCCGCCAACACATCACGGACATCGCCCTGCCGAAGTTGTACAACGAAGTCAACGCGACGGTGCTGGGCTCTCAGCTCAGCAGAGAGAGTCGCTTTGACATGCGACGCCTGGACTTCGAGGGCCACTGAGTCGTACATAACTCTTACAGCACATCACATAACTGACGAGTGGAACCTTAAGTCCCATGTTCTGCAAACCCGAGCCATGCATGTCAGTCACACGGGAAAACATTGCAGTGTTACTAAATGAGGCTGTGACTGAATGGGGATTGGGTGCAAAGGATCCCGTTGTTGTTACAGATAACGCATGCAATATGACTGTCGCAGTTAGACTTGCAGAAGTTACGCACGTACAGTGTTTTGCACACAGTCTGAATCTCGCCTCACAGAAAGCACTGAAAATACCAACAGTGGTGCGACTCCTCGGCAGGATCAGGCGGGTGACAGCTTTTTTTAGGCGCAGCACCATAGCCAGTGAACACCTAAAGCTCAAACAGCGCCTGCTCCAACCTGATCTCACAGAAATACGTGAAATGACCACGACCTCTTAACACCACATTCCATGGTGGCACCACGTAATGGGTTGAAATTACGTGCTGCCACCACGAAAACAATGCCAATGTAAACTCAATTAGGGTCCTCTCCCGTGGTGGACACACGGATTCCCTGATTCAATCACGTCACGTCACATCAACCTCGTTTTCCTCAATGATATCTTTAACATTCCTGTATACACACAAAAACGCGGAAGTGTCCTTGATAACTCAACAATATGACAGGTTAATGTCAAGGCCATAAAATAAAATAAATGTATTTTGCCAGCTTTTGATAGCGTAGGGCTTTAAGAGCATTGTGCTGTGGGCGGATGGGGTGCGTTCCACTACTGTTTTGTAGCTGCTGTCTGCCGTCTGTGGGTTTCATTCCATTTCAGATTGCCATCCGTCTGCCGTAACCGAATCCAAACGCCACTAATAAATAAATAAATAAGAAGATAAAAATAAGGCTGAGCACGGAAGAACCAGAGAGGAAACACCATCACATGGAGCCGTCTGCCCCTGGCAACCCGGCCACCCTCCACTCCACCAGGGGAGAGTGGACCCCAAGCCAGCGCCACAGAACCAGCGGCTGCCCCGCTGGTTATACGTCCGACCGTGGCAGCTGTCACACAAACCGCTGCTGAAAATTATACATTTTGATACAGGTAGGCTATATACATATTGCAAAACTCTGTAAAAGTACACCAAAGCATATTTTCGTTTCCAAATATTTATTTGAAAACGAAACCATTCATACGGTCAATATAAAACATTTTGTTAGTAATAAAAAACAAATGTAATCTCAATGTGAGCCAGCCGGCGGGACTGCGGCTGAACCACTTCCAATGTTCATTCATTCATTCATTCATTCATTCATTCATTCGCATGTTCAATGTGTGTGTGTGTGTGTGTGTGTATGTGTGTGTGTGTCAGAGAGGAGTATCAATAAAAAAAGTAATTATTTCGGTGTTTATTTCTTTTATTCTTCTTTTTTTTTAATTAAAATGCGTAATATAGCCAACAATATTATAGACCAAATGTTAATCTAATTATTATTGTAGAATGTATTTAGCAAATCACCACTCTCAACTGGAGACAGCAGCAAAAAAAAAAAAAAAAAAGGCATTATAAAAAGCCGACAAATAGTGTTAATTAATTGACGTGAGACACTGAAGAGGTTGTCTCCTATAGTCTGTAATTTTTTATTTTTTTTATCATAACTTCTCGGAAATTACTCAAAAGTAGAACATGCTAAAAGTAAATACAATAATAGGCTAAATAGTATCTAAGCAATAATAAAGTGTCTAAACAATAATAAATATTATCTAAGTTATCTATTAGGCTACCATTCCACTCTGTAAATAGATTTTAACATTTCAATATGATTTTAATATTATTTTTGCTTATTTCATTATTGTTATTATTGGTTTTACTTTTTAGTAGTATTGTATTGTCTGAGGATGACTCATTTTAGTAACTATCTACAGTAAAAAAGAAAAAAACAAGCAAAGAAACAAACAAAACTCATTTTATACACGGGGCCTTCAAAGTGCTCTCTGAAACTACACCTGGCATGGCTTGTGTCCAAAAAATGAAAAAATCTAAACTTTGTCGTAGAGCTAAACCAAATACATCATTGGAAAGGTCTCAACCTGGAGAGTAACATATGTCAGTATGAAGATTCTACATGGCTCCTGCTTTCAGCCATTGACCTTTGAACCTTGACCTCAGTGCATGTTTGAGGGCTTATAACTCAGCAACTAAAGGGGGTACAGACATGGGACCAGCTGTTATAGAGAGCTGTTGACCTCAGCTATCATGTGAGTGTAGTCAACAACTGAGGGTGCTGTCAGATATGGATAAAATATGGATAAACTTAATTTTCACCTATTTAGAAATTAGATATTTAAAATCTGATTTCACAAATGTGTTTACCATCCCCTTAAAGTCCACAATGTACTCTCAATTCAGTATTTACAACTTCCAAATCTGGGAAAAACACTAAGATTTTTAAAAAACTACAATTCCCTGGGACCGCGCCATGCAGTTTGATACATATCAGCAACATAGTTGTAGTTCTTCTGATTTGCAAAGTAGGGTTCTAAATAGGGTTGTAAAAAGATATATCTACTGAATATATCTAATATCAAGTAAAGCCGAACTAGTTATTACACTGCACCTAGATGAATTATGGTAAGAAAAAGTAAAGATGTCGGCTAATTTTCGATATTTTAGCTAATACACTAGAAACAGCGTTTTTGGGACAGTAGGTTCGTTTGCAGCTTGCTGTAAAATAGGATCGTAAAAAGACAGATCTACTGAATAAATCTAATATCTAGTAAAGCCGAAGTAGTTATT